TAAGTTCAAGAGCCAGAAGTCAGGCAGTGGGGGTTTACTTTCAGAACTGTAAAAGCTGTAAAAACTGTAGAGTTTACTGTTAAAAGCTGAGTTTAACCTGAAAATAATACACTCAGTGCCTGAAGAATCTTTAGAATACTAGAAGAAAGTTTATGAAACATAAATCACTTGGGAATGTTAGTGCAAAGGACAATAAAATAATATTATTGAAAGGACTATAGAGGGAGGCAAGTAATATAAGTTCAGAAGAGGCTGTCTGTCAAAGAAAGAGCGATAAATACACAGGTCTCAAGAGGAAAGGTTTTGGTGAGCAAGTCTTCAAAATCTTTATCTCTAATCCAGTTCTCTCTCCTAGCTTGAGAGCCATCAATACAACTACCCAATTTATACACAGAACCACACACTGAGCATGTCCACAAAATGCCCATCATAAACTTCTTCCTCCTGTGTTCTCTTTCTGGTAGGCCACCAGGCCCCAGTCACTCCATCAGAACCCTAAAAGTAATTTTTCATTCCTTCTCTCACCACACACATCTATTCAATAACCAAGTCCTCCTGATTTTACTGTCTAAATTCCTCACTTAGGCCACAGCTTTCTAGTTTGTCTCCAAGCCTCTAGTCTTTAATTCTAGCCAGCAACCCCCATGCTTACTTTAGTCATCTTTCTGATTATCTCATTGCCTTTAGTATAAAAATCTGTATTTCTAGGATTGGCTTAGAAGGCCCTCAAACTTAGGTCCTAGCTTTCCTCTTTAGCCTTGTCTCTTCCCAAGTCCCTGCCCCCTACTTCATGTTCCAATAACACCAAACTTCTCTTCATAGGGAATGCACCATGTCCTGTGTATGCCACGTCCTCTACTTGGAAAACTCTACTTTCATTTCATATGGTTATGTCATCCTGATCCTTTAGGCCTCAGTTGATACGTTCATTTTCTCCTGAGGCATTCTCTGACCCATTCAAGTTTGTACTCCTATGGCACCCTGAACTTTGCCATCATAGTACTATGTCATATTTACTTCTTTCTATCTTCCATTATGCAACATGCTCTATGTAGGAAGGAATGAGATGTAGCTTGCACTATGTTAAATCCACAATGCCTGGCACATAGTAGACACACGCTAAATATTTGTTGAATTAATCGCTTATAACTGAATGCTCCCCCCTCTTCCTAAAGGCTAAAGAGACTGTCTCTTTCAATTGTCCACAACCCCTCTAAAACGACACTGAGATTTTATGACTTCTTAAAACTTTTCTCATTGTTCTTTTTATTTATTTGTGCAAAACCAGGCAAACACAAATGTCTAGAGGGGTTCATGCATTTCGGTACATATGCAAATCTAGTGAGTAGTGGAAGCTGCGGTAATCTGGCCAGCACATGCCCTGGGCAAAATGGGTGCTCATTAGCACAATCCAGATTTCATGATGGAGTAAGGGCCCAATGCTACCACGTTCTGAAGTTTTAAAAGCTGAAATTATTCTGAATTTTGAAATGTTGGCTCAAATTTTTCATGAACATTGAGTGGTGCAAACAAAACATGCCTGTCTTAAGTTGTCTGTGGGCCATGTTTGGTTCGTGAATCAATTTATTCTCAGGTCCCTTGACTAGGCTTTCTTTGACACTCATTTAAATGACACTTCATGGGAGCATGAACACCTGAGCTATTGAAACATCTTAGTAATGATTCTACTAACAGGTTGCTTTTACTTTCCTCATTCTCCATACACACCTGCCTTGGAATGGTCTCTAATTACCTGTCCCATATCAAAGAGCTCTCTTCCCAGCCAATCTTGCCAATCTAGCATTCTATCCTCAGAGTCGTCATTGTTCATTTGGGGAAAGTCACTTATTCAAACAAGATAATGACTGACAAATGTTTAGCAATAAAATGTCTCGAGAGTTATTACTTTTTAATTGGGATCTTCGGCGCTATGAAACGAAAGGAGGAACAAGGGAGTTAATTTTAGAGGGCATTCCCTGCCTCTTAAGCCGGTTTATCACACTGTACTAAAACTGTTTATTCATCTAGTTCTCCTGTAGACCTTAGGCCAGGGGTAGGGAACCTGTGGCCTTCTAGGTCCTTAACAGAATCCAAATTTTACAGAACAAATCCTTTTATTTTTATTAATACATTTTTGTCTTTTACACTTTATTTTTAAAATTAATGTATTTAAAATACCAAAGAATAAAGTAAGTTTCAATGAAATAATACTCCCAGATTGATCGGCACAATTAAGACATTAGTAAGCCATAAGGGCTAAATTAAAGGCCGCTACCTTCACGATTTAGTTCTAACTTCCCCTGCCTGACTGGTGCCACTACCACACAAGGCTGGCTGGTGAGAGTTTATGGGGGTGGAGTATGCCAGTCTTATCAGCTTTTGACAACAGTGCACTCTGTTTCTGTTTGAAGTGGAATTTGTGAATAGTTGTACAGCTCAACAGTATTTTTTAATTCTGTCTGCTTAACAGCCCATCATGTCAAGGAAGATCAAGAGAATGTTGAAGGAAGAAAACAGATTTTTTAAACGAGGATTAGGAATTGTGATATTATCTTGTATCTGCTAAAGATAAGATGATTTGCTTCCTTTCTGATACTGCAATAATATTAAAGAAATTAAATGCTCATCAGCCTTTTAACACTCATAAGGACCACAAATATTTTAAATTAGAGGGAGAAGTGTGAAATGTTGTACTGCAGAAATTAGAAGATAAAAAGCAAAAGCAAAGACAATTCTTTCAAGCAGTAGTAAGTAAGACCTGGAAATAATGCCACTGAAGCAACTTATAAAGTAGCTTATATATCAGGAAAAAAGGGAAGCCATTCAGTAATGTAGAAATTGTGAAAGAATGCATTGTCGTAGTTGTAGGATGCTTAGACCCTGATAACAAAATACAAACAACTGCCTCTTTCAAGGAGAACCATAACTGACTGGCAGCACGAATTAGCCTTCAACTTAACAGAACAACTTATTACAATACTTCAAAAGGAAAGTATATATTATTCAATTGCTTTGGATGAATCAACTGATACTACTGACTCCACGCAGATTTTATACTTCATTCGGGTCATAACAGAAGATTTTCTTTGCTACAAAGAGTTACTCACTTTCAGCACTCTTGCGAACAGAACACAGGGAATGGATGTTTTCAACAATTTTCAAGATAAATGTGAAGTTGGACTGAATTTGGTAAATTTAGTGAGTGTAGGTACAGATGGTATACCTTCCATGACAGGAAAATATGAAGGGTTTATTGCACAGATAGAGAAAGTATTAACAGATACAGATGCTCTTATTTCTTTTCTTTGTATCTTGCATCAGCAAAATCTCGGTGCTAAAGCTACTATTTTAAGTGACACTTTGCAAAAAGTTGCAAGTATTGTTAAGTATATTCATGCAAATGCAACACAGCATCATCAATTCCCTAACGTGGTTAAGTTGATGAGGTATTCAGCGTGGATTTGCCATGTCATTCTAAAGTGCGTTGGCTATCGCAGGGACAGGTGTTAGCCAAAATTTTATCTCTGTGAGAACAGATAGGTGAATTTTATGAAGCACAGAATCAGCAATGTGAATAATTGAAAGAAGATTTCTATAGCAATGGAGCATTTCTGTGTGATACCATGTCAAATCAAAATGACTTGAATATTTCTTTGCAAGGTCTATACATGATATGTGGCAAAAAAATCCAAAAGGAAATTGGATGAACATTTTCCTCAGTTAGCAAAGGTCACTGATGCGCAAGATAATATATGAGAATCATTTGAAGAATATGCAACTATTATAGACCTATTAATTGGAGAATACAATGAAAAGTTCACTGACTTTGAGAATGGTGACATCACACTCAAATTAGCATTTCAGCCTCACCCAGTTGACAACACCAAGGCACCTAAAGAACTACAGACGGAATTGAGCTCTTGGTAGATAACATGTTAAAGTCATTGTCTGATGCTAAGAAAGATCCAGTTGAAACATGGAAAAATGCAGAATACCCACGCCTTCGGCAACATGTCCAAAAAATGTTTTCGTGCTTTTCAACCACTTATTGCTGCGAATCCACATTGTACCACCTAACCTAAATCAAGACACACTTAAGATCACAAATCACTGACTGATAGGCATTTAGAGGATCAACTGAAACTGAGGATTTCCATGCAGTAACCAAATATTCAAATGCTTTCCAGCAAAAAGCAGACAAAACAAAGTCAGTAAAAGTTAGTTAACTTTAAAATTAACCAACAGTTTTCGTTTTTTTAAATTATTAAGTAGTTAGATTTTTACAAAATAATGTATTTTTTAAGTATATCTAATTGAAGTTGTTGAGTGCGGCCTTAGAGCTAAATTAAAGCGGCCTTCCAATATGAAAAGGTTCCTCACCCCTGCCTTAGGCCATTCGTCCTATTCACCACAATCTCTGTCACACCGTATAAGGGTAGGAGGCAAAACTCTACGTGTGTACGCAGCCTGAGGGTGGATCTCTTTGACTTCTGCTTTAGAATCGTTCCCGTGATGATCCCGTAACCAATCTAAACTGACGTAGGCAAGGAGCAACTGCTCAAAGGAAAAGCGTCGGCTACTGAGCCAGCTCCTGTGGGCAAAGGTCTCCTGAGTGCCTACTGCGTGCCCACAGTCGAGCTGGTCGCCAGGGCGTAGGAGATAAGTTCAGGAGCTCAGTCCTGGCTCCAGTTCCACTCCAGTGCTTCACGATTCCTTCTCTGGCCTGTCTGCCTACTTAAGTCACCCACATGCTCTCCTCCGTTATTCGTCCTTTTCCGACGTTTGGTCCGGCTCCCGCCGTCGGAGCGTCCACCCCAGCACCGCCGCGGGCCGCTGCCTCACTTCCGCAGATAGTGGTCGCGGGGCGCGAGGGGCGCGTGCGGACCCGCTCGAAGCCCCGGCCCGCGACCCCACGCCTGGTGTGCGTCGAGCTCCCGCCCTCGTGCCCCGCCAGCGCCTCGCCTCCCTGGAATACCGGGCAGCGGCGGCCCCGCCCCTACCTGCGCGCCGCTTCGCCGGGAGCAACAGTCTCCCTCTGGAGCGTCGCAGCCAGACATGGCCCAGACAAGGGATATCCGCAGCTTCCAATCTTCAGCCTAGACTAATGCAACGGAGCCACAAGTGCAAACAGGCGGCACCGAAGGCAGCCCGGGGGCGGGGCGCACAGGGCGGAAGGCGGGGCCTGGGAGGGCCTAACTGGCTGGGCTATACGGCGGCGCAGCTGCCAGACCGGTGGGCGTGGCCAAGGAGGTTGGAGGCGGGGCTAGGAAGGCTTCAAGTTTACGAGACCTCGGAGCAGGGCTAGCATCCAGGGGGCGTGGCCAACCAGATGGGAGGCGGTGCCTTGTAGGGCCTTGACACTGAGCGATCAGGCTGTGCTGTGGGCAGCCCGTGAGAAGGCTGGGAAGATGGCGGCCTCCTGGAGGCTAGGCTGTGAACCGCGGCTGCTACGCTACCTCCTCGGCTTCTCTGGCCGCCGAAGCGTAGGGCTGGTTAGGGGGGCTGCTGGGTGGTCTTTCGGCCGCGCAGCTAGTTGGAGATGGTTTCACAGCACGCAGTGGCTTCAGGGTGAGTGGCTGGAACTCTTCTCAGCTTCTCTGTGTAGCTGAGCGATGGGCCCGGGTCGGGAGCAGTGTTGGTTGAGGGCCTGCGTTTGGGTGTGGAGGTGCCCGGGCTCCCAGTTCTTGGGGTTCTCGTTCCCTTCCCCCTTTCTTGTGGTGGGGTCCGCTGACTTGGCATAATGCATGCCGCAAAGGGCTTTCTTGGGAGCTGGGAGAACTCGATTCTGCCCCTGGTTCCCTGGTTTGTATGGGTTTTTTGTGACCTTGCCTTGGAATTTGGGTTATTTGTGAGGCTCGGCGAGGTTTCTAAATGGTTTTCTCTCAGGCCCCTTCCCAATCACGTCTCAGGTTTCTTCAGGGTTATCTGAACATCTCTGACCCGGAAAAGCTGCCTAAAGTTGCCGAAGTTCAGAAGTCACTGTTAGCGGTTCTTATTCATTCTCTAGGTCTTTTTCTGTTGGGAAATCTTTTAAGGCTAGTTGGGTTACTGTACGCGATGACTCGTAAAAGATTTAATTTGTAAATACCTACGGCATCAACAGACATAGGTCAGGGAGAATATTTCGAGCAAACATTTTTTGTAAGAGTGAAAATATAGCAGGGGAATCATACCAATAAGTTTATTATAGGAAAGTGTCGTTTAGTAGTGCTATTGACACAATTAACACATTTTTTTTGTATTTAACGGTATGTAAAATGACATGACAAACACTGTTTTTCCTTAATTGGGGAAGGAAATGGGGGGGAGGGTGGAGAATCGGACTAACTTTTTTTAGTGTGGCGTATTACTTGCCAATCATTCCTTGCACTCCACAGAATGAATTTTAATCTAAATAACTAGGTGCAGTAGACATTGCCTTCATATTCTGAGATATCAAGGCTCAGAAGAAATAATTTGCACAAAGTCATACAGTGAGATGAGTGCATTGACGTTTCTAAAGACTCAATAATGGGAACAATTTTTCAGTTTCTGTAGTGTAATGTTTCATAAAACACTCCTTGGAGCAGTGATTCTTTAACAATGTGTATAGAATCCCCTCTCTTCCCTCCTCCCAGTTTGTTAAAATTAGACGTTTTTAGGCTTCCAGAGATTCTGTCTTGGGTGGGGCTCAGGAATCTTCATTTTACAAGCAACAAATATGTTTTGATGTTTTATTTTTATGTTTGGTGGACTACTCTGTGACATTCATTGCCTTAGAAAATCATGGAATATTAAAAGCTTAGTGTTGGTCATAATCTAGAAAGAGTGTTCTTAACGTTGTTTGTAAAATAGATCCTTTTGCGAATCTTTGAAAATGCTTGGACTCTATATGGAGAAAAGGGCATACGTGATTATACACACAAAAATGTTCATGCATAGGCCTAGTTAAAAGACTCCTGCCTTTAGAAATTCACTTAGGCAATCCTTAGCTGAATCATCTTGACATTTTACCTACTCCCCATTCCCCAGACACACACCATGAACTTCCCTAACTCAGTTTGAACACCAACCACCTGTAAGGGAGAAGCGCTATATCCCAAGGCAAGCTGAATTAGTTCCTAGTGGTGCTGCAACAAATCACCACAAATTAGTGGCTTAAAACAACACAAATCTATTATCTGATAGTTAGAAGTTCAGAACAGATCTCACTAGGCTAAAATTGTGTTGGTAGGGGCTGCTTTCCAGGGGTGGGGAACCTGCAGCAGGCCACATGTAACCTTTTAGGTCCTTAAGTGGGCCTTTTGACTGACTCTAGATTTTACAGAACAAATCCTTTTATTAAAAGGGGTACAGCAGAGAAAAGTGAAGCTTTTCTTGCCTCCTTTGGTGCTTAAAAAAGAACAATCTTGAAATCGGAAGGCTATAGGTTCTCCACTTCTGTGCGGGCAGCCTGTTTCCTTGCCTTTTCCAGCTTCTAAAGGCTTCTCAGATTCCTTGGCTCATGGCTTACTTCCATCTTCAAAGTCAGCAATGGCTGGTTCAGTCTTTTTTTTTTTTTGAGACAGGGTCTCTCTCTGTTGCCCAGGCAAGAGTGCAGTAGCATCATTATAGCTCACTGCAACCTGGAACTCCTGGGCTTAAGCAATCCTCCTGCCTCAGCCTCCTGAGTAGCTAGGACTACAGGCTCAAGCCACCATGGCCAGCTATTTTTTTCTATTTCTAGTACAAACGGGGTGGGTCTTGCTCTTGCCCAGGCTGGTCTTGAACTTCTGACCTCAAGCAATTCTCTCACCTTGTCCTCCCAGAGTGCCAGGATTATAGGTATGAGCCACTGTGCTAGCCTGGTTCAGTCTTTGTCATCTTACATCACTTTTGACTTTCCCTCCTGCCTGCCTTCTTCCTCCTACTTATAAGGACCCTTGTGATTACATTGGGCCCACCTGGATAATCTGGGCTAGTCTCCCCATCTCCAGGTCAGTTGATTAGCAAACTTAATTCCATCTTCAACCTTAATTTCCTCTTGCTATGTAACAACATATTCATAGGTTCTGGGTATTAGGACTTGGACCTCTTTGGCAGGGGGCATTCTGCATGCGAAGCTATGTTGTTGGGTAACTTGAGTTGTTTGGAAATTTTGGAATTTTTTCCTAATATCGAGGCAAAATTTATCTCCTTTTGACTTTCCCCTACAGATTTTTGTTTTGCCATGCTGAATACATGTGGCAATCTTTGAGCTATTTCTTTTACATAGAGTGAATTACACTGATGTTTTTTTCTCTGAGTTGGTAAGAACTATCATTTCATAAAAACTAAGCAACTATTTGGATTACTGTTGACTATGTGGATTAAGTACGTTTATTGAACTATTTCCCCTTTCACACATCTATCCAGGATTTAAAAATCTGTCCGTTGGAGGTACCTGTGGAGTTTTAGTTTTCTTAAGAGGTGTTGGCAGCATTTTTATGTGCTATGACATATGCCATTTGCTTAGCACTTCCTAGAATTTCTTATTCACTTCTCACAACTTAGTAAAGTTGGCAGGATCTGCATTTAGTTGGACAAAAATTCCAAGGCTCAGTGAAATTGTGAGTCTCTGAAAGGCCCAGCTATAATGCTAATGAACTGAAGAGCATTTATGGATTTATATACATATATTTATTTGTGCTTAACAAATCCCTAATTTGTTTCATTCTCTCAACGGAGACGTTAATTGAGAAAGCAGAGATTATGTTATTTACCACTGATATTATTGAACGATGAGTGAAGAAATGATCATCTATTAGGTGCTGGACATATGATAGCCTGTTTGGAAAGTAATTGGCCAGCTGAACAAAACAGATTCTCAGTATTCTGCCACGTGGCTCATTTAGTCATATTTAGCTTCCGGACATGCAATCCTACATTCTGTGTAGGCCTTATGCTTACGGTATTTATATTCTGCTTGGGGAGATAAAGAATAAAGGCATGATTTCAGTAGTGTGTGCAGGGTGCTCTGAGGGGTAAGTTCAAGTCGATAAGAAAGTATTAATAGTACATAAGAAGGCTTCCTAGAGGAAGAAGTGGCAGCCTTTCCAGGCTGAAGGAACAGTAGAAACAAAGGCCTGGAGGTCAGGTGTGACTGACAGCATTTGTAAAGTTTTTCAACCTACTTTAGGCAATTAAATTTGAAGCATTTATATTGTTGTCCTTTTAGAAGTAGGTGGCATGATTTGGAAATTAATAATAAGATGTTAATAATAGTGGTTTTACATTGTCTCTGTAGAATAACATGTTGAATTTAAAATAACGTGTGGATAGAAAAATAAATGAGGTTCAACCTTGGTAGTGATTTGCATAATATACAATTATAGGCCTTGTATAGTATACATATTAAACAAAAATGTCTAGGGAAGCTAGAAATCTAGGAAGTTATAAAAGGACCCTAAAGTTTATAGTCAGATTCCAAGTTGGCAGCCAGTGAACTGACCCACATCATTTTAGAAGAGCAGATGTTGTATATGTGTATAAAGGAGGAAATTCTTACCAATTTACTATGAAAATAAAGGCTGTCTGAATCTAAAGAAAAAACTTTTAAGATACTAGCCCTCTTCTCTCACCTGCCTGTTTTCTGTAGGCATCCAAGTTTTTCACAAGGACAGAGGCAACTTCGATAATAGTTGATTGTATAGTATTAATACTATGTTAATACTTCTTCAAACTCTCATTTAACTGTGAAAACAGAAACATACAGAATAGCTGAAGTAAAAATAGGATTTAGAACACCACATATAAAGTGCCACTGAGCCACAGGGGAATCATAATGATTCCATCTATTTCTTCTAGGGCTCCCTTGTCCGTCTTTTCTCTTTCTCTGGTTTACATTTTTTTTTCTGGGCAGCCTTGTCAGTCTGCTTACTTACGGTTTTCTTTCTCCATAATGTCAGCTTGCCTTGCCTGATTGGTAATTCAGGTCTTTATGCACTTTATGCACTTTATGCACCACTCTGTCAGTTTAGTTCAAGTGTTCACCACCATTTCTCTGATCTTCTTTCAAATTCCCTGGATAGAGAAGCTGATTGATCCATTATAGGTCAGTTGGAGAGTTGGGTTCACAGGGCTAATACTTCAAAGGCTATGGTTTGGGCATTTTCTTTAAGATGGTAGTATGAGTTGGGAATCAATGATTGCTATGTCCGTTACCATGACAATCTGATTAAAATAGGCCAGTAGTGTAGTAATCCTTTATTTTAATTATTTCTAGGCTAAGTAATGACTAAGGAAAATGTATCATATGCTATCTGAAAATTCCAGCCAGCCTTGTTTCTAAGGTGTCATTGGATACTAAGTAAAAGTGTAAGAGAGAATCAGCAGATTCCATAAACAAAATGGAGCATATGGTGATTTTTTTGGGCGTAGGCACTACATTTATTTACTATTGCTAATGATCTACTTCATACCTTTCTGTAACTATATAAATCAAAGACTTGCTTCTGTTACATGAAACATTCCTAGGGGAGAATTAGGATTGCCAAATGTATAATTTAGGATAGTTTGCTTGGGAATCTATTAGCCCTAATTTTTAGAGGGGCACACATCTATTAGAAGGC